CATGGTGTGGGGGGTCTCCCTTCTGGGGTGGTCGGTATTGAACATGTCTAAAGATTTTGTCATACAAATTTGGATGGAAGCAGCGGGTGTTTTTGATGTTGAAGTTTACGGGGGCCATGGAGCCATAGAAGGATGGGTGAAGTTTGGAACTAATGAGATCGTCCTCAAGAAGCTTTGGTTATAAAACATGCGTGCTAATAATGCTGCTGCTACACTCGATGTCCTGGTTGCCCTTCTCACCAACCAGTGGTGTCATGTGAGCCCATTCAGCAAGACTTCTCACATGCTATGCTTTGTGATGTGTGTGTCAGTCTTGCTACTATATGCAACCATCTTGGGCTTTTGAGCTTTGACAAGAATCGAACTGAGAAGTAAATAAATCAATCCAAAGGAGTGACAGTTGACTCTACTTTTTGAGGAAGACAGCGAAAGGGCAAAATAGGGCAAAAGTTGACTGCTTGCATGCAATAGGGCAAAAGTTGACTGCTTGCATGCAACCCACTCCATTATGACACCCCATGTGACAGAAAACCAAGAAATGCAAATCAAAGACATAAAATCATGTCAAGGGGAAACTGGCAGCCAGTACCGCACAAACCTGGCAGCATCAGCATACATCAACCGCACCCAGCTTTCCTTACTCCAGAATCTTCTGATATCTCCCAATGTCTTGTGACTATCTGGTGAGGTTAAGATGGCATAATGCATTCACCACCGCCCGGCAAAATCTAGGACCAAGTGTCACAATCCATTTCTCTAGATGCAAGCCACCTTCTGTCCGTAGGGGGCGGGCCTTTGGGCACCCTCACAAACAAGGTGGTTGGGAGCACGTGGGCCATGCCACGGAAATCAATTAACCTGTGAACGGACTGCACGAATTAATAATCAGGGTTGGAACACCTCATTCAAAATGTCCCTTTAAAAAACAAAATGGGGCAGGTGGCAGAAAACCTACGGCCATGGTACCGGCCCTGCAGACCAACAAACGTAAGCATCCTGCTGATTTAGTCCAGGAGTCCAGCAGCTGTCTTTATAGACACTGAGCATGTCGAAAGCTTGCGGTGTAGCCTTTCATCAAGGTGGGCTGCGATATCCACGTTCCGCCATTCCTCTCCTGGACGAGTTGGTGCTGACGGGTCCTCCGCAAAGCGGAACTCGAACTTGCCCTTGTGGCTTCCGCCGCGGTGGGCCCATCTGGTTACGCTGCCTGGCTTCAACCCACAAGCTCGTGCAGCACTTGAAATGGAACGGTGCTGTGTCCACTCATCTTGGCTACCGTTCAGCCTGCTCGCCACGGGTTTTACATTCGAACCGGCCTGTCTACTGGCTGCCTTTGTCAACCCATGCAGCGCATTTTCAGAGGGAGTTGTGTACTCTAAGTTTTCCACGGCGTTGTTCCCTTTGTCATGATCTTTATGATTGATGTGGTTGCGCTGCAAAGTGGGAGGTGGCCCAAGAAATGCGAAGGCGACAAGACGGTGAACAGATTCAATTCGCCCACCACACCATGTAGTAAGATAACCCGCCTTGCTCTTGTATCCCACCGATCTCCTGCCGCTCGGAAAATGCAGCCTACCCAGGGAACTGACCATCCTTCTAGGGATTTCATGTCCCGACTTGGGGTCATGCATTGGCCTCCAGACTTCGCCAGGGAGATGCTCATCTTGGCCAAGATTCACCTGGCAAAACTCCAGGCCTTTGATCGATATTCTTCCGAGACAGCTCCTCCGCACCGACGTCCGAGAAAGTCCCGTCTCCAAAGCTGCAGCGGTGATAGAGGAGCAGGTTCTCCACTCCAGAGACCCCACGGGGCGCCACATCACTGGCTGTGACAAGCTGGGGCCACTATTGCCCCTTGAAGGCTTTTCATATGACTGGAGGATGTTCTGCCTGGGAGTTACGTACTCCAAGTTCTCTACTAGGTTATTACATGGGTTGCCATCCCTGTGGTGGACTTGCCACGCCAGTGGATCAGGAGCACGCCCCAAGAAAGCAAACGCTACGAGGCGGTGAACATAGAAGTGGTGGCCAGAAATGAAGACTCTCTTGTACCCGGAAGGGCTCAAATTCCCAGCTGAGACGATTCCAAATGTATTGCGGCACCTTCCATGTGAACTGATTTGCCAGGACTTTTCCACGGGCTTACCTTGCAACAAGCGTGTAGAGGAGGAGTATCTGTAAGCCAAGGACAACCAAGCATTGTCGCCGAAAACAAGTGCACGCCATGGTTGCACCCTCAGCATATGTTCTGCACAATATGTGAATTCTCAAGGGATTGTCCAACCATGTCGACCATACAATGTTAAGGGCATAACTACCTCAGCATTTACAGTAACCATCCTGGACCTGGGACCGTTGTAACAAAATAACTTGCTTCAGATTCTTGAACTGAATTACCTTCAGCTACTATGAGAACTATCGCAAATTGCCGCAGCCATGACAGCTCTGAAAAGCATCAATTCAGCCGCAGCCTCACTACTACCTAACCAAGGCAATTGCAGAGGCGTTTCAAGACAGCAACAAAATGCCACTAGCCTGCCAAGTCCAAAAATACAATGGATCCCATGTGTCTACCTTACCCATCAGTCACAGATATTAATTGTTATACTACACTATTGCATCGCTTTCAGCGCACGAGGACTTTGGAGAGAATGGCAAAATACGCACAAGCGAAAGCAATCATCATCATGCATTGTGTAGTCAAATGCAGGAGGACTTGTTCCATGGTTCCACTGGTGATGTTTGTTGAATCAACTTGGATCATCTTCTTCCCACATGCTTAGGGATCAACCCTCAACAAATATGGCGGAAACCGACGCAGGAACCATGTGCCCGGACCAGGATGGGATGCTCTCCAGGGGCGGATGGCACCTGAGGTGCAGCGCACCATTGGCGGAAAGGATGCTTTGGTAGCAAAGAATGTACCCAGATCTTGAACAAATATCCCATATCCATTGTGGATCATCATGATCACCCTCAAATCTGCTGCCAAAATACCTGAATTTGAACTATATATATATATCAAAACAGTCTATGTCCTGGATATCCGGAACTTACCGGATCGACTTCAAATGGGTTCCTTCCAATGGCTGTATTACATTGGCTCATTGGCACCATTTGCCATTTGATATTTGTTTACAGGATGGGTTTGACCAAACCCCCCGGCAAAGTGGAATGGATGTATCCGTGGTCAAGCAGCACCCTACCCATCAATGCAGCCTATATCTGGCTGCTCTGATATGCTGTGGTGGTTAGGGCCTAGGGGTCTCCATGGAAATAAACTGCGTGCAGTATATTTTGTAAGGTTGCCAGCATCAGCCATCAGCCATCCTCAAATGAAACCAGAAGGCCCCTCCAGCTAACAGGATGGTCAACGCGTCATCTGCGCACATTGAAAGCGAGTCATCTGCGCACATTGCAAACAAGTCATCTGCGCACAGAGAAACCGCGTCATCCGCGCACAAAGAGCGGTCATCCGCGCACATTGAGGCTGGGAACCAGCCATTTCGGGTTTGGTTTGGGGGGGGTGGGGGGGGTGGGGTGGGTGGGGTGGGGTGGGGGTGGGTGGGGGTTGGGTGGGGTGGGGAAATTATAAGTTCATATTCCTATGCCACACAGGCAATCAAGCAACCTCATCATCTTTCATTTCCGTAGAAGCAAGAAAGGCACAGCTCTCATGATCAGTTACGCCCGGTGGGGTGGGGTGGTTAATAAGGTCATGTTCCGAATGCTACAGAAGCACAAGCACCTCATTCATCTTTCCTTGCTGTAGATCACTTACACGTCACTTGCTCTTTCATGATCAGTTAACCCGTGGGGTGGGGGGGTGGGGGGGGGTGGGGTGGGGTGGGTGGGGGTTGGGTGGGGGGGTGGGTTGGGTGGGTGTGTGGGTGGGGGGGTTGGGTGGTGTGGTGGGTTTGGGGTGGGTTGGTGGTTGGTTTTAATTTTTGTGTTGTGTTATTCATAACTTTTCATTTTCAATGAATATCACACACAGGCACAGCAACCTCATCATCTTTCTTCCCGTAGAGCAGAGACAGGCACAGCTCTTTCATGATGAGTTACCGGTGGGGTGGGGTGAGTTAATAAGGTTCATGTTCCTATGCCTGCACACGCACAGCAACCTCATCATCTTTCTTGCTGTAGAGCATTTCCTCGCACTGCTCTTTCATGATCAGTTACCCGTGGGGTGGGGGGGTGGCTGTGTAAGATGAGTTGTTGAGAGATGACTTGTGTGAGATGAGTTGTGTGACTTGTGAGATGAGACGAGTTGTGTGAGTTGTGAGATGAGTGGAGTGGTGTGAGACGAGTTCTGTGAGTTGTGAGATGAGTGGAGTTGTGTGAGATGAGTTGTGTGAGTTGTGAGATGAGTTGTGTGAAAGAACATGGGTGAACTTCAGTGAGAGAACACGAAAGCAGCTCCACCAAATGGCACACGAAAGCAGCTCTTGAGTGAGTTAAGTTGTGTAAGATGAGTTGTGAGAGATGAGTTGTGTGAGATGAGCTGTGTGACTTGTGAGATGAGAGGAGTTGTGTGAGTTGTAAGATGAGCGGAGTGATGTGAGATGAGTTCTGTGAGTTGTGAGATGAGTGGAGTTGTGTGAGATGAGTTGTGTGAGTTGTGAGATGAGTTGTGTGAAAGAACATGGGTGAACTTCAGTGAGAGAACACGAAAGCAGCTCCACCAAATGGCACACGAAAGCAGCTCTTGAGATGTTTAAAAAAAAAGCTAGAAGAAGAATCATGTTACAGAGATACAATGACAAAAACACACAACAAAAACGTGCACAGACGACCAACCGTCTGACGTGCACAAACGACCCACTTTTGACGTGCACAGACGAACCCTGAACCGGCCTTGCCTTATACGGAAGTTATAAACAACCAGCAAATACCAGCAGCCCATTCAGGGATCCTCTACGGCACAAACATTGAGTAGACGACCTGAAACCAGGTCAATAGAAATGAACAAACTACAGCCAGCATGCCCAGGAGGACCCAGCAATGAGAAAAGGATAGCCAGGGTCAAAAAATGACAAGAGAATCAGAAAGTGACATTGATTAATTTTGTTTGAAAGAACCCTTGCTTTCTCCACATGCCAGGTATCAAAACCACACCCAACCTATCAAACCACCTGCCAACTCTGGCAACCGTTCCCTACCTTCCCTAAACGCTGAGGACCCAGGCCGCCGAAGCGATGGTGGGATACAAAGCAGACCTGCGAGAGGTACTGAAGCAGCATGAGTATCCTGTGGTGACTGCATTTGGTGGCCCTCTAGCTGGGCTGGCAAAATGTCAACGTGACTTCTTGAATAGCTATAAAGCTATATATAGTATCTTCTCAAAAATGCTAGGCGCTTACCCCGTGCTGGAGGTTATCATGGTGTCACGGATAGACGATAGGCTTGGCCAGGGAATACGCATGTGTCACATCAACCAAGGGCGCATGTGGCCATAAAGGTATCATCATCGGCGGACTGAGGCCCCCAACGGCACAGTTCGAACCTCTGTTCTGCTTGCCACCTCAGACCCAAGAAGGGATGCAAACATCAAACTCTTGCTGCATGGCTCCCGCAAATGGGAGCCAAACAAACACATCTGCTTACAGCCAAATCTCCAAAAGTATAGCAGCCAACCGTCAACAGGGACAATCATCCCAAACCGGATTTGAAAAATAAAGGGTATAGCTAATTTGAACGTTCGAGATCACCAGCTAAACATCAAACCCACCTTGAAAGCGTGGCCAAATCTAAGCTGACGCCCAAAATCACAAGATTTCAACGTGCACCACTGGCCAAGCCCTGAGACCGCTGCCACGCGCTCCGGTTGCTCTCGGGAGAAGTAGCCACCCGATGCCTTCAGTTAATTAAATTGCAAGCCGTTTTTTTAAAATTATTGGGGCCAACTCCATACGCACCGAACAAAATTATATACTGAGCCAAAGGGTCTGGGAGGGGTATTTTTGATTGAAGCCAGTTTTAAGAACCCCTTTTTGGGACCTTTGACATGAATTCTGTAGATCCAATACCTAAGCTCAGTGTCTCGGAGTGAATCTATGATGACAGGCAGTGGGACTATCATTGGACAAAGCCGGAAAAGAACAACTCAATGCCACAATGCGTCAGAAAAACAAACTCTAATGGATTCAAAGGTCAATTTCTGCACAGCGTTTCCCAATCCCTGACATCTTTCAGCACCCATGAAGTTGATCAAATCACCAGCCAGCAATGGCAACCCTTAGATCAATACAACAACCACCATGCCGTGGATACCTCCATGGAAATACCACATATGACATAACTAAGCTGTAAAAGCAAGTGGTCCAAGATTTCACCAAATAAATTATAAAAGAAACATATCATATCCCCAGATTTGCTGAAAAAAGTACATCTTTGCTAGAGTTCAACTCCTTTTTTTGTTGGCGAATGATCCTACCCATGTGGGTTTGCCTCACCTGTGCCGTCTCCACCTGCCCAAAATAAGGCCAAACCCGAGCCTGGTCTGCTGTCATTGGCCTGCAGGCTGGAGCGAAACCAGGACTGCAGGTACAGCATCCTGTGACATGGTAGTAGAATGAAATAATGATTAAACAAAAAAAATGTGGAAAACCATGGCTGAAACCATGTGTCAGTCAGCAATTTTATAGCAGTAAATCAGCTGAAACATGGTCCCAGTTAGATGATAAGTTTAGCTCTAAATATGGCCGGACGTTGGAATTCGAAGCGGTACAAGAAAAACATCCATAGTGTAATTAATTGTATGTCTGTATACTTTGAGATGCAAAGACTCAAAATAAAGCACCATGGGTTCTACTGGACTCATGTGTCCATACGTACAGAGCACTTGCAGCTGGTAAGAAGCAACCTCTGTCAGAAACTCCAACTACGATGCTCCCCTAGGCCGAGCATCGAATCTGGTAGATAGATCTTTGGCACGTCATGTTCATTTAGATCTGAATTGCCAAATCAAGAAGGCACGCTTTGGTTTCTTGACCCAGTTTACACTTTTTACCCTGTACTGACCTGCTGAAGCATTTGGATCCAACAGTTAGCAACACCGACAACCATTTTTTCCTCAAGCGTAAGATAGCGTAAGCTGCAAAAATCCCTCAGAACGATGGGTGCCAGGCCGTAATTTGTGCCTGATTTAGCTCCTAGGGGAATTCCATTCGATACCAACGACCCCCGTCACCACAAGGTTTTCTGGAATCAGTTTCCAACATTGGGGTTATTTAGTGGGAGTATTTCATGTGTAATGATATGACAGTCCCGATCCTAGCTTTGGCGCTTCCTTCTGTAAAAGTGCCATGTGACGTGGGTCCCTGATGAGTCTTTCGAATTGAGAAGCCCCGCCACAGGGCGGGAAATTTCTAGCACCATCCTGATCGAGTAATGTGCCTTATTAGGCGAGCAAAAGACCATCAAAGACCATCAAAGACTTACAACTGGCTGCATCAAAGGGTGCTTGGCTCCAAACAGGATTCGAACATATTGAAACCATCATATGAAAGCCATCATCAAAACATGATATACTTCCTGAAAAGGTTTGGTCCCAGGACGGGGTGAAACGGTGAACCGACGGCCACCTCCCACAACGGACCGCTGCGATTTCGCGCAGGTCCAGTGGGTTTCCGTCGCGGTACCGGGTTGAACAACTGGGCCAGGCGCAAAAGGAAGTGTCGAAGAGAAGCTGAGTACACTACAGTACTTGGATGGCCAATAACTGGGTGATATTCCCTGGGCAAATAACCGGTTCTAAGGTTTAAGTTGCAACCCACTGGTTTAGTAAGCGATACAAGAACTCCATGGCCCATCTATATAAGTAGCAACTACTTCCCGCTTGTACCAAACACCGCACCCCTCAAAAAAGACAGGTCTGGTCTGATGTATTCAGCTGACTTCAGCAGCTCAACCCAGTTTCTGTGAGGCTGCGGGCTGTTGGACTTCATGGACTATCAGAAGCCAAGATTGAAGAAGTTGGACTACGATGCCTGGAGTATGGCACGCGTGGCCAGCACAAAAATTCGCTGGGGTGTCTGAAGTTAGGATCAAGGGTAAGGTCTACGATGACCCATGGCAACATGGTGTTTTAAAGTTTGCATGAGTTGCTGTGGGTATGAACGGCATTGCGAACAATAGGTTTGGTCAAATTTCTCATTGCTAGGGGCTAGGGGCCAAACAAATCCACCATTTTACACTGGGTATTCGAGGATCAAAGTGATTTTTTCCATATTTTACCTATGTAGCTACCTTCAATGCGTCAAAGGTCCTGAACAAATTCAACAAACCTTTCTGTGTAGCATCACCTGGCAGCACCCTTCTCATCAAAATCAACCGCAGGCAAGTTGCATAAAGGTGCTGCAAGTTCTGCTTGAGATCTGCCAGGGTGGGTGCAGCCTGTGGGGCACTTCCTCCCACGTTCGTAGCATGTGGGTTGAAGCCCCCGTTCCCGGGGGAACATCCATTGCATCCACCGCAGCCATTGCATCCACCACACCCACAGCCACCGCAACCACAGCCACCAAAACCATTGCAGCCGTTGCAGCCATTGCAGCCACCGCAACCATAGCCATTGTTGCAGCCTCCGAAACCGCCACATCCGCACCCGCCGCATCCACAGCCGCCACATCCGCAGCCGCCACATCCGCAGCCACCACAGCCGCAGCTGCCACATCCGCAGCCACCACAGCCGCAGCCACTACAGCCGCCGCAGCCACCACAGCCGCCGCAGCCACCACAGCCGCAGCTACCACAACCGCCACAGCCAAATCCTCCACCACATCCACCACAGCATCCACCGCAGCCAGTGCAAGGGCCACAGCCACCACAGCCACCAGAACCACTGCAGCCACCACTGACAAAGTCGCCAAAGCCGCTGGTGTTGTTATTCATCATGTTCCTTGGCCCATTTGCTTTCAACAAGCATGCCAAGGAAAGCTGGCAATGATGCAAGCTTTAACTATATATAGGACATTGCTCGCACAGGATGGTTTATACCATGCGTGCCTGAAATTTCGACCAAAATGAACAGGTGAATTGTTGCAACGAGCTCCTGAAAGGGAACCCTTCAGGAAACCAACTGCCAAGGCACATCCCGGAGGCCCCACAGGCACCACAGCCCATGGGTGACATGGATGGAGCCATGGCGTTGCCGGCGCTGCTCCCCATGGAGGGTTGGAAGCCCATGGTGGCAACGCCTGCAAAAGAAAAAAAACATCTTACTGGCTTAAAATTAACGACCTGGCGAAAGGGTTACCAACCATTTCAGACCAAGCAGAGCAATGTTTACAAAAGTATGACTAGCAGCACCTTAGGAAAATGAGGTGAATAATCAACCTACAAGTTGCCCATGTGTGTAGGGGGAGATGGAGAGTTACAGTATCCCTGTTGTGAGGGCAGCACTTGGGCGCCCAGTGACAATGTTGGTTTTTTTTTGATTTCGTAGTATAGGCACCAAGCATTGCCGTTTTAATCTTTGCATTTTCGATGTTCTGCATTTCTTTCTTCTGTTTCTGTTTTGCATTCTTCATCGCCATTATCATCATGACAGGTGATCAAGCGTACATCTAAATTTAGCTAGGTTCAAGATAGGTGGTAGAGGCCTTAAGTAAGATCCAAACATGTCTGGTACGTACGGCTGGTAGGTTTGATTTTCTTGGTACGGTACGGTACGGTTGGTAAGCGTACCAAACGTACCTTACTAAGCGTACCAAACGTACCTACCCAAAGCGTACCAAGCGGGCAAGCGCACCAAGCGTACCGTACCAAGCGCACCAAGCGTACCAAGCGTAGCGTACCTATCTTATAGCTGGATATCAAGCACCTATCTTGAACTTAGATAAATCTAAATCACACCTTTGCCAAACAAACGCCCTTGGACCCGCCTGGGCTACATCCAGCATTTGGCGCATTCATCTTCGACATGGCATTGTTGGCAGGCTGCATCGGCATCTGGTTCCTCAGAGCAGGGATCTTACATGATGCTTGACGATTCAACTCTCCAAAAGTGGCGTTAGCCCAGTTACACATGGGATATCTTTAGTTAGGGGACTTATTAACCACTTGGAGGATCATCCCACTTAGTAAGGGAATATCAACTTCACACACACTTATAATACTGTATACTTATATATATATATTATATTTATCTGTGTGTGCGTGTGTTTATTTATTTATTTGTTGATTTATTCATTTATTTCTTTGTTTATTGTAGCCCAGTTATATGGGATAGCCCCACTTAGGCACTGATTCACCAGGGTTACCCTTCCAGTTATATAAACTTAGACCCTGCCAAGTAGCTGTTGGAAGACTAGTTTCCGCACAAAAAAATGGTGCTTTTCAGGGTTCATTTACCAGAGGGTACAAAAACCAGTTACGATCCCTGGGATGATCCTCCACAGCCACCAAGCTTCGCGGGTGCCGCGTTCTGGTTGCCCGGCATGGGCGGTGGCACTGCTGCCGGCGTGGCGAAGGGATCGAAGCCAAAGTCGTCTGGGAGAAAATGGAGGGTGGGTGATAGAAAGCAGGGAGGTGTTCCATGGGTTAACAATCCAAATATGGGATTTGAAATGATTTAATATGATTTAACTTGATTTCATAAGGGAAAGCACATGGATTTGAATGAGAACAATTGGGTTCTTTTGCAGATATGAGTGTGTCTGATCATGGGGTAGGCCCCGAAATGGTGGGTAATGGGAGACATACTGATGAAAACAACAACTTTGGGGTATATAGGCTATTTTCAGACAACCCCTACTTTATCAGGGGTAGAAAGGGTGCTGTGACTTGGCTATCTTCTGGTAATGACTTATTAAATACTTAATGGGATATGTGATATTCAGAGCATCACGTACAAATGGGTTTTGATGACCTTGATGTGAATAAAGGGCAACCCCAACTGTACCAAATGATGACAACTTGGATATCCTGATGTACACAACTAAATTGAAGATATAGACTCATGCGACCAGACCTGGCAATGGATGAACAAATCAACTTAATTTTCAACAGCACAATCACCGATGGTGTATCTCACATCCTACTCCGCTACAATCCTCTTACTAAACAAATGCGGTACTGTGACACATGAGCCAACCCATGTATTGGAGTGCGAGGGACCCTCCGGCCGGCAAACAAACTGTTGGCTTGGAAACCCACCATGAATACATCGTAGATTATGTTCCTATTGAAGCAGTGACTTGCCGAACACTTCGATTGGTGGAATCGCCACCATGATCTGTGCGCGACATTCCAGAAACGTATCCATCGACAAGCTCCAGTTAAAGCTAGACTAGCACTGAGGCCGTTGGTATCCCAACTTGCTTGAATATGAGCGATAAGGATCGATAAGGCATATGACATGATAGGAAACAGGGTCACATATTTCCTCATATGTGGATTTTTCATATGTTCATGATGAATTTATTGGATCTTCACTCATCAAATATGTAAACAAAACGCACTGAAACATCTTAAAACTGTTTCAAACCATTCTTGGGTACCGTTACATGATCCATACCAGTATTTAAAAACTACATCGAATCATATCTATATCGAATCATGAGCATAATTTTAAGTCTGGGGTAAGACCTCACATCCCAAATCCTTCCAAAATAAACCTCCAGGAATCCCAGGTGCCAATTGGCTTCATCCCCATTCCCTGCCAGGTGACTCGTTGGTCCACTTCCCACATTGGGATCAAAGCCGTTGCTCACCGCCGGCGCCGGTGCCGGTGCCGGCGCTGGTGTGGGTTTGGAGGGTTCGAAGTCGCCTCCAACTGTCGCATGTGGTGAGGCTCAGGGAATGGAATCATGGATCTGTATGGCTGGCATATTTAGCTGCATTTGGTTCATTTGGCAAAATGCTGCCACATATTCCTCACATGAAGTTGAAATGCTGGCGTGGTTGCACTTCTAATAGCAAACAGATTATCACTTTTTGGGGTTGCCCCGAAATTAATAAACCAGGATCTAGTGATGTGGGGTTTACACTGTAGACCATCAAACATGCAGGTCTAATCCACCGAATGGTGACTTGAAGATCTTGAAGCAGCACACATGGGGATTCACCAACATGGAGAATAGTGAGCCTTTTTTTGCCGGGCTTCCAACGGTTGGCCCTACAGCTAGAAATTGACAACGTGCAAAGTGTATCAAAAATGAAATAGTTTGATAAAATGAACGCCGCGTCATTGAGGAGCTGAAAAGTGAGCCTTTGCCACACCAAATAAGTTGAGCTTTCGCTGAATAGTTTGTCACTCCACAAACGGTTGAACGAAAATCCCATTAGATTGACCTACTAAACGTTACCAAATCAGAGAGTTTACAAAGGGAAGCGCTTTGATTTTCAATGGGCCCAAATCCAAACCTTTGTTTAGAATTACAACTCTTTTGATTCCAGAAAACTTGCAACGCCTCTGATTTTGGACATTGACAACTTTCATATTGCAACAACCAACGGGAAGCATTAGCATAACTTGAGAATAAATAATCATGGATGCCATGACATCACGACCAAATCCAGAAAAATACTCAAAAACATCTTTGAACTTCCGAGCAAGCCACTCAGCAAATCCACGCTCGCCGGCGGCGCTGCCGCCGGTCGTGCCGCCCTGCCACCGGGCGCTGCCGGCGCCGCGGAGAGGTTGGAGCGGCTGGCAGGCTGAGGGGGATCCTTGATCGAACCCAGGTGACTCAGTTGAAGGGTTGCGGGTGGATAGAGGTGATGGAGAAATTTGGAAAATTTCTTGTTAGGGTATTATTGCACCATGAAAAAGTATAGAACGCCAACTTTTGATCGTTTTCCATTGGTGCTTTGAAAGCACGTGACCTATTCTCCAACCACTGATTAAAGCTTGGCCGAAATGACGTGTTTTTTTTGCCCTGTCGTGTGCTTCAAAATCACCACCCAACTACTTGCCTCCATGGTTTCTAAGAGTTTCTTTCATTGAACTTGATCTAAATGCTATAAGGGAAGATCGGGAAAATATTGGGAAATGACATTCCAAAAGTTCCTTTGTTTGGGGGACACTTCTTGGGGGATGCCAACCGCTTAAATTGATGAGTCAGCCAAATACGTTGTTTTTGCCGAATATTGTCCACCAGTGGAAATTTTGAGGTGTTTAGTTTTGACCCACTGCCATCTATGGATGGATAGTTGGTTATATCCCAGCCTGTAACTTGGACACGTAAAGGGTTCTCAAGTTTAGTCAGGACATGCCCACTCTTATGCTTCTTGATGTCCCATGCAGGAAAGCGAGAGCCATAATTACCTACGTTTTGACCATTGTTTTGACATAAGCATGTCTTGGTCACCTATTATATAAAATAACTCCACGCTTTTCAGCTGTATCTTAAAATCCTTGATTGTTTGTGCAATCAATCATTGCGTCTTGACTACCCCAAAGGTTTTTTCCAATTACCACATAAGTTCCCAAGACCCGCTGTCCATAAGCACCTTTTACCAAGTCTCAGATCTCTCACGCCGGGGCGGCCCACACCAACGTTGCTCCAGGTAGGCCTTGCACTTGTAGGAACCCCCAAAAAAGAATAAACAGGATAGAAAACTTTTCCCAGGATGTTATAGATGTTTCTCCTCATGATTTCCAGGTGTCTAACCTTTTCTATCTAAATATTCAATGGGAATTCTTATTATAAAGTCAAAGAATTGAATTTTGGAAAGAAAATTGGACTTCCACCAACAAAAAAGTTGGAACCCATAAGTTATAAGACTATATGTTTGTTTCGGGCCATTTCAAGGACTCGGAACTGGTTTAAGCGATTGACATTGCAATATCACCTAGAGACATTTGCGGATCTTGAGCAAGAAAATCATGATAACCCCCAGCTAGTGTATGGATTATGAATCCCTTCGTGACACATCCAAGTAGGTGCCGACGCATCGGCCCATCCCCATATCTCCATTTATGTTGCTTATATGTTTATTTGATTGCCACTCTTAGATGCCTGCAAAAACGTTGCAGAATATGTAACCGCAGCTTGGCATCTACATTCCTCCACTCTGAGCAAGTCAAATGAACCCACCAAACTACTCAACCCAGGTTTAGGGAGGCGACTCAACCCCACCAAAGTGAGCACCTTCTTCACAAAGTCTTTGTAAACGTCCAAGTGGTCACCTGCCCAAGGCGGCTTGGGCCAACGGGCTTCCCCGGTCTTGGTGCATAGCATCGGTGGTGATACCACGGGTAAAACTGCATCAACCTGGAACCAGAGTTCCATTTTGAGGGTCCCAAATGTTACATGGGGCAATTTTGTTCTCAAAAAAAACAACAGGTCTAGGTATGTCTATGGCAAATGAACTGCATGGGAATGTGGAAGCATTGAATGCAACTTTTGACCTCCTAGCAGCAGGCATAATTTTCATACATCATGCCAATCAAGCCTCATATGATACCATGTTTAATCAACCAATAACCTTCCAGCCAGCCAGCCAGCCAGCCACATGAAATCTTCCTAGCTGCTCCAACCCTCCACTCTTGGGTCACTAGCTTGGCTCAAGATTCACTATCGAACAAACACAATCAAAAACATACGGGGCAGAGTGGTGGCAGAACACCCTCCCGCTCCAACCCCATAAAACCCATTCAAATTGGCGCAAAAAAAACAACTAAGCGCAGCGCAATAGTTGGCTACTTGGTGGTTTCTCTAAGTTTCTTTCGCCCAGGTCCTAACCATTTCTACTTCATCCCCCATCCCCTATCTCCACCACCCCCATCCTCCCCCATGGCCTTCCCGTGGTCGTTCCTCATCCCTGACCTGCGCCAGGTACGTCTCCTGCGCCGCGCGGTTGCCACCGCCGTGGTGATCTTCGAGGCTGCGAACCTCCTCCATCGACCAGAGACTCATCTGGGTGCTCTTGCAACGGTGGGAGAACCTTGGCGATGTTGCTGGGGGTGGTCCTGGTAGGGTTGTGGGTATGTTGGTGGGTGGTGACTGATGGTGGGCGTGGAATGTAGAACTGGTGTTTTTTTTGGTTCCCCACCTGCCAGGTGAGGGTTGTTAGATTTTATCAGAGCTGTTGTCCTCCTCCTCGTCCTCCTCCTCGTCCTTCTCCTCCTCCTCCGCCTCCGCCTCCTCCTCCTCCTCCGCCTACCTTCCCAGCTCAGTGTGCACCGCTGGACCTCAACCTGGGACCTGCCCAGCTCAGTGTGCACCGCTGGACCTCAACGGCCAGATAGAATGCCAGAAGAGATGCCAGATAGAATGCCAGATAGAATGCCAAAAGATATGCCAGATAAAATGCCATGAGATATGCCAGATAGAATGCCAGAAGATATCCCAGATAAAATGTTAGAAGATATGCCAGATAATATGCCAGAAGGTATGCCAGAGAGAACGCCAGAAGATTTGCCAGATAGAATGCCAGAAGATATGCCAGATAAAGGCCAGAATGTTTGCCAGATAGAATGCCAGAAGATTTGCCAGATAATATGCCAGAAGATATGCCAGATAGATGCCATGCCAGAAGATATGCCAGGTAGAATGCCAGAAGATATGCCAGATAGAATGCCAGAAGATTTGCCAGTAACAAAATGTATAAATGTCATGGTGGGGATCACACGAAGTAAAGCAATTTCTCCTCCTTTCTTTAAGGAAACATTAAAATTGGATGGAGAGGGCTGAAGGTATCACTGTTTTGGTGGGATATTTGACCTTTCCATCTTCTTGGGGGTTGCTATAATGGACATTGCCATGATAATGCAAGCACCCAAACAATAATCGTCATGGCCACCCCATCCACTACTTCTACCTCGCCAGACTGTGGCCGAGGGACGCTTGATGGGCGGACTTGCAGTTGCTGCACACGAAGATCTTGAAGGGCATCACCACGGCCGACAGCAGCGGGGAGCCACTGGCCAGGCAGTTTGCGCACCTGGCCACAGGGGCGATGAAGCGAAGGGAAAGTTTGTGGATTCCATCATGTTTTCCATCATTCAACCCGATGAAAAAAAACATATAAAAATACATTTAAAAAACACTCTGCAAATGGTAGCAAACAGAAACACGGTAAAATGATACTGCAACCGCAACTTTTGAAATCCAAAGGAGATGACTCAAAAGAAACCCCTCAGAGAATGTTCTTGGGGTCATCCATCTTCAAAAAAATGAGTACTTACACCCTCTGGAAGCTCTCTTCAAATAGTACATGGCCTATCTAATCCCAGACATCCAATGTCACCTATCCCCCTGGACCCCCGGGGCGCCGAAAAGGCCTCTTGTTCTCTGGAAGCTTTCTGACCTTGTTCAGTTCCTCAGCTGTGCCATCCGAATCATGACTACACATCTTGGCATTTTTTGCTTTGGATATGTTTGCAATTTAAGAGACTTAACCATCACATCTTTGGAGGGTCGATATCAGTTTAAGCCAAAGTTTGTTCAGCACACCATCGCCAAAAAAAATGAAAGGCAATTGAATGGTTTGTCGAGTCTCTGCACTCTCAAAGCCTCAATTTTTGTTGCAATGTGTGATTGATGCCTGATCCCCTACCGGCAGAACAATTAAGCATGAAATTGTTTTCAAACCATCTGTGATCTTTGCGGGGGGCCTTTTCAAACTCCAAAATCGTGCCAAATGTTGCGTCACCCAACCCTTGGACAAATGGGTGCGGGTCAGTTTTGTTTGTGAACCTCCACGCTGGCGTCCATTTTTGATGGCCAAAAATCACCCATGTTGATATTCAGACCCAGATGAGTAATGTTCAGATCCCTCTGTCATCCCTTATGTTGATTCCGGCACAATTATTAATACGAAGGGTTACTGCTAAAATGACCCAACGGGCACAAGCTTCTGCTTCAGCTTTCTTGGATTCCTCTTGCCCAACTTGCGGCGCCATGGCGACTCAGGTGCGATGTTGAACGAGGCTGGTGTTCTTTGGCGGTTTTATAGCAAGCTGTCAACGGGCCGAAAAGGGGCCGGGGTCACGAGTAGAAAGGAGGCGTGCAAAAAGAGACGTATATTGATAGCCATGACAAATCTTCGATACCTGGCCCTGCACAAAAACTATTCTCTTTGATGATTCTGCAGTATGTCACTCCATTCTTGGCGTGAAGACTAAAGTATTATTGACCAGTATTGCGCTATCCACCCGAGGTTTGTTCAGTACTCAAGGGATTTTAAGGGTATACGTAGGCAAGATCCTGCTTTGCAAAATTGGGACTCAAATTTGTGCTGGGTATCGTGTCACTCACATCCACTTACCTAAGTGTCAGAAACACCAGCACACAGAAAGTGTTTTTTCCCTAGGAGATCTTCATAGCAATCGCAATATCCAACTCTCCGGGGGCTGGCGAAACAATGAATGGCCCAAACAAAATCTGAAATGCCTCCGACACTTGCACAAATGATCCTCCCGCCTCTTCTCACATCATCCATCTGTCTCCTTTCATTTGGCTGGGTTGCAGGCTCCAAATCGGAGAAACTAGGGCACAATAAACAAAGTATATGAAAATTACCATCTATCTATCTATCTGTATATATAAATATATCCCTAGGTGAATATATCATGAGTAGCGGTTTTTTCAGGACTGCAAGTTGCAAGACCATTGACCAGGTCGAACTTGATAGACTTAGCCAATCCTTCTGAGGGATGAGGTTGCAACCCACCAAAGAAATCTCCCCTCCAACCCCAAAATGGGGGGAAACTAAAATCTCCTATACTTTCAAGAACATCGAGGAGAACAATATACAAGAATCAAATTCCAAATCTTCTTAACCACGACACGGAAAACGCAAAACCCCACGTGGCTGAAGACTGACCTTAAGCCATCCCAAGCCATCTTGGATCATCGGTTCGATCGGCGGCTCTGTGGCTGTGGCTAAGTCTGCTTATGGAATGGTCGGTTCTGGTTGGGGATTTGCTGAAAGAAGGGCACCAGCCGCGACTCATTGCATTAATTTAGATGCTGCTATGTTTTCGTGTAGTACCCACACAACTACACACTCTGAGATACAGGACGTTGATATGGTTGATCTATGAAAACTATGTGTCCGGATTATTCCGTAAACAAGTTTGGATACCAGGTAACTCCCCCGGAACCAGGATGGGATGAGAAGGCATGCGGATTCACTGTGTATAGTTGATGTATAGTTGCTACATCTTGAGGAAAAAATGCTGCAACGACCAGTGCCCATCTAGGAACCCCCGCAAATCTCAACAGCCGGTTCTTCATTTCCATGGTCAGCTCAAACTCACAGCCAAGGCATCCAAGAATCGCTTCCCATGCCGGAAATTGTGAGTACATAATATTGCGGCTTACTTAAATAATGAGACACGCCCTTAAGTCGTATGAGGTTACCCGGGTTCCCGTTCTTGGGATTCACACCCCACCCCGGGTGGCGCTGCCCAGTCTCCCTCGTTCTTTTTGTTTGGCTCTGAATCAAATCATCAGCTGGGATCATCTGCTCTGTGGATGGGCCACCCAGCAGCCAGCAGTACATCAGGATTGGATCAAACTAGCACGAAACGTGTGACGACCAGCTGGTGAGGTTTCCTGTAAAACTAAATCAACTGTACACTATCATAAGCATGGAAGCCCATCTATAGAACATAGATGGGACATGATGGGACCCCATCACAACGAGTCAACATAACAAATGAATCTGTCTGTTTTCCCGGGAAACTCTACACACAATCCATGAACTTTGCAGCTTTACCATCCACAACATGAGGGGAGGTGCATGGGGGTTGCCTGTCTCTTTGTGCATGTTTTTACTGTTTCCTTGCACAAACCTACTGAAAGCGCGCATCTGAAACATCCGACTGTAATACATCTGCAGCATATAATTAGTAGTGTGGGAAGTCAATGGCAACTTCTTCCTTTTCAGAGCTTCTCTTTTGCATTATTATGATTTACGGGGTCCAAGGATCAATAATGTCCTAACCTATGCGCTGCCCAATTTTGGCGCCAATGGACACTGGAGAAGTGGAAGCCTACAAGCATCGGCTGCTGGGTGACTCAAATATCTACTGTTCCGCAACTATCTACTGTTCCGACATCTGCGATGCCCGGAACACGACATCGCAGTAAAACATCTATGATGAAAAGGTCCGTGTGTCAAAATCAAGTTTCTGCGCCACATTTTCTGACATGTTGATTTTTGTCATTGTTATCGCGTCATATACTGTATTTTTCTGCGAAAACCAATCAAGTGTGTCTTTGAGTTCACACCAAATAGGTCATCCCTCCTGCAAAAGATCTCCGGGTATCTAACCATCCCACCCCATTTCTTAAGGGCAGCCAAGGGCTGTTTGAATTCGCGCAGGTCAGAAGCGGTATCTTAGTTTCCTTCCCAACCTCGAATGACCAGGGCGATGGGATGGGATGTCATTTTGGTTGCCTTCTAGACATGGCTATCAGAGGCTGTTTTGGGATGGTGTTCCTGTTCAAGAAAAAAATAACTATATATTATATAACTATAAAAAATTGTTGGTGTGAAACATCGCCTTGAGCTACTGGTAAGTTATATACATGCATACTGTGATCCAGAGTTCTTGGGGGCTCTCACACTTGATTTACATGATGGTTACATACTTCATTGTAACTTTCCCAAGCCCACCAAATGCTATCAGAATCTGGCCGGCAACCTTTCCACCTGCAGCTGAGAGGCTCCAAGTCCACTTAACGCCATTGTGTTCCGACCTGTCAGAAGCGAAGACTTGACACAATCGGACCAGGTGAACTTAAGTTATCACAGGCGGTACTATACACGCAAACTGACGGCGCTCATGTGCAACGGCTGGAACATATGCTTGAACTAAATGACCATTGCCCGGGCTCAGGATGCAATAACGATGAATGATTCCACTGGGCCACATCAGCAAGGTAATGATGGTAGTATGCAAGCGCCAAATCCCTACCACGGGGCCAACTCTTTTCTCCGTGCCTCCAACTCAGTTTGCTTGGGTTCTTTTGTATATCATCCAGGTCGATGCCTGCCAAACAAAGTGATGCTGGGAAAAAAAGGAACGTAACAACAGCTTAACCAGAGGTTTTGATTGCTTCTGGTTATTGGAAGTTGGCCAAAGAAACTTCAAATCCGTGAAAATCTAACTTTAAAATACTCTAAACTCATGAAGCAACTTACATGTTAGTGTCAAACAGCACATCGCTATTGCCCCAGCAACCATCTACTGAAGCAGCAAAAGCCTGGCTGCCGCCGGCCCCTTGGGCCCCAGACGCCAGGTACCTTTGCCCCAGTAGGCCGTCTTGTGGTCAATGCCTGGTGGCAGTGGGGTCCATCTTTCAAACAATGTTAGTTCGACCAGCTTGCCATGAGGATATCTAGGGAATATTCATGAATATCACAAACATAAGCTCCCCTCCCTCACTTGGATTGTCCCAGTTTCGTTTGGTTTTTCTGTGGAATTCTGCATCCCCATCAGCCCACAGTCGTCCAGCCCAAGTTACTAATCTGCGTCCAGCGCGGATCAGAACCCTCCACGTAGGTCTTACACCTCGGCCGGAAGGTCTGCCACCGAAGCATTTCTGCTGGGATGATCGTTGACAAACTTTTGAAGGTGCACATCCAACTGCATCCCACTGACCATACTAAGACATACTACACACATCCATATAATTACTGACTATGCATCCCTTTGTGCGATAATAATTTGATGTAAATTATTACAAAGGAAAATCACCTAGGTACGAACCAGCACTACTTAACTCCGGGGATCATTCAAATCGCCGGCAACCTAGCTTCCAACACCTGTTTTTGTTCATGAAAACGCAGCCGTCCGATGGCCCCCGGGTAGCGACTCTTGCATAGCGAGCTGGTGGCTCATTCCTACTGGTGCGTTAGGATTGAATTTGGGATAAGACCCCGCCCCACAACAAGCAAAACATGACCTCTCCCACCCAACCAATGATAACCCATAAGGGATCAAAAAGCCAGCAATACTACAGCATTGAATGGCTTCAACTAATTGGGGATTGCATGATGTATCAACAGCTATTCAGGGTCTTGACCCATGCTGAATTGGCACGAATTGGAAAAATAGTCGACTGAACGCTCACGAAACTTGATCGGGCAACTTTTCATGTCAATGGAACCATGTTGATTCTTTCGGTTCTTTCGAGCCTCCCTCTCTTGCAACAGCGCTTCTATATCAACCTCACGCCATTCTTCACCTGGCAAAAGCGCAGGCTGCTCCACTGCGTCAAGCCGGAACTCGTGATTGCCTGTGTGCTTTTGCAGGCCACCGGCGCAACGTGAAATGCTGTCTTTGTTCAAGCCCAGGGTTGAAGCAGCAATTCTCATGGACGCATGCCATTGCCACCCCTGTTTGCTTCCAAGAGGCCTGCTCCACACTGGTGTAGTGCTAGCCTTTTTTCTGCCACTCGCTTCAGCCATCGCAAGGAAGTGCGCCCTGTTTTCTGCTGGAGTCACATACTCCAAGTTGCTGATGGCGTTGTTGCTTTTAATCCCATCCTTGTGGTTTATCTGGTTGTGTTCGGATGTGGGGGGTGGGCCCAGAAAAGCACGGGCGACAAGACGATGAACAAACACATTTCGCTTCCATCCGCCATAAAGGCAAGCAGTCTGCCAATATCCTGCCGTTGTCTGGTGTCCTCGTGAGATCCGGCCATGCTGAAGCTTCACCCTTCCCAAGGAACTCACGAGCATTCCTGTGATAGCTTGCCCCGACGAAGGGTGGATCAAGGGACGCCAAACTTCCCCAGAAAGAGTTAGCCGTTCAAGAGTTGCAAAAGCATACTCATGTCCGTCCACTGTCAAGTTGCACCGGCAATACTTGGACAAAAGTGTCCTCTTTATCCCGAGCTCCTGCGCAGCTTCTCCAAGGGAGGGGCTCATTGCCCAGTCCGAAGAGCCGCTGGTTTTCCACATCACAGGTTTTGCATGCGAGGGCTTCTTCGTTTTCGGCCCTGAGGCGGCATGAAAACAACGCATGTTTTGGATGTGCGTCACGTATTCTAAATTGTCCAACCTGTTGTTCACTTTGTTGCCATCCACATGGTGCACCTCATCTGAATCCATATCAGGAGGCGGTCCATGAAAGGTTCGTTTCACCAAGACGTGCACTCGCCACAACTTCCCATCAATTTTAACAAAGGAATATCCAGTCGCATGCAGATAGCCATAGGTTATCCTCCCCTTGGTGTCGCGGCATCGTCCCAGTGAACTCACCTGCCAAGTCTTTCGAACCGCATTCGAACTCCATCGAAAAGCCAATGGCAAACACCAGGCCGGCACACGGCGGGCCTGGCTCGCTAGTGCCTGGAGCATGCTAACTGCCTTGGCGTTGTGGCGTTTTGTTCGTTGAAAGGTGAATGCCCTACACGGTTGCTGCCTAAGCAAGGGTGATGGTAAGCTTAGTCTTAGTCCTGTTTAATTGTCAACAATATCCCAGGACTGTGCCTACTAGTGCGGTGTTCAAACGGAAACGCCTGTCATTGGTTCATCTTCTTGAGCTGGAATATTCGCAAAGTGGAATGCCCCCAAGCTGCTCTAATCTATCAAGTACGTTGATTTCTTCAATGCCTGCCCTCAAGTACTTCTTTTCGTTCCTTGTCTGGTCCAACTCTGCGAGGTGCTATGTCGGTTGCAGGATGTTGAAGGCTATGAGACCTCTTCAAACATCCGAGTGGAACTAGATATCAAATAGCATAACCTCCTTCTTCTGAGACCATGATAGTGATGAAGAAACTATTTCGAATAATTACTTCCGCAAATTAGTTTTTTCTTTCCCCGATTTGGGCAAGAGACTGCAAAATGGTGAAGACAAACCCACCTGGATCAACGTGTCAAATGCACAACCTCCATGATAGAAAAAACAGTGACTGTTATAACTTGCAATATGCTGTACTTAAAGTTTTTGTGAGCACCAATCCAACATTGCCTGTTCTATCTTGTGGTGATGAACCATTGGTCCTCACATTGCCTATGCTCCAAGGAGACAAATCAAAACATATCCACAAACTAATCACCTGGTTGGTACATTCAACCCAATCCAACCCAACACTATGTATTTATGTCTAATTCACAGCGATACAACGCACACTTCAAAAACATAAACCAAATGAAACTGGGCAAACTCAAGCATCTATTTCACAAACCTGATCGAAACCATTCTCCGCCGCCGACCTCAAACCCAGGGCGCCGGACCAGATCCCCTTCTTGCTGCCCTGCGGCCATGTCGTTGGGTGGTTTCGTGGAAAGTTCAACTCATCGTCTTCTGAAACAAAAATAGAGATATGTGCCATCTTCTTGTTCATCATCTTAGTTACTATTGGGTAAACAAAAAAAAGATGCTGTGATTCACTGTGATGTACCTTCTCGTTGGCCAAAAAGAAACTGTGTTCCTTGACCAAAGCGAGAAGTTAAAAGATTCGATACAAGCTGTGAGGGCAAAAGCAAATGGACATGCTCAAACATCAAGAATCGAGCGAAACAAACATGTTAGACTTGAGCTGAGCACTTGTGCACAGTGATGTGGCCTCTCTCAAAGAAACCTTCAACCTGTGGACTTGGACCATCTAGATGTGTTAGCGAAACATTCAGGGTAATGCCTTCAGAGATCTCACCAAAGCTTGGCTTGAAAAGTGTAGATCACCAAACTCTGGAGGTGACAAACCAAGACAAATCAACATGAAACCAGCAGCCAGCCTACTTTTGAAGCACCGCTTAGACTCAATGCCAGACCGAGCCAGGTCCGGACGATCCCATCTGTGTCACAGCAACTGTAAGGATATCCGGATCTAACTAAGGCCGTTTCGGCAGGTTTCCCCAACCATAACTATAACTTCAAGTCCCAAAATCCCATCCTCCTAAGATTTCTCCAAGTTGGGATAGACCCAAGGGCCACACCAGGGGTTCCACAAAAACCCAAAAACCTAAGCTGAGATTGGCTTCCCAAATGAACTTCTATGTGGGATTCTAGACAATATCCCCAAATATGATAATATGGTTGGTTTCATCCTCATGACAATCCCAGCTCCCTAACATCATAGCTACCCCCCTGGAAGATTCTGAGAGTTGGGGCTAGTCCCCGAAGGTGTGAAACCCATTGAAACCCAATAATCAAACACCCTTGATAGTTTTCTCTCTCACCCATTTCTGGTGAAAATTGTAGTTGGTATAGCTCATTATAGGCTTATCCACACTACACTTATCTCCAGGTCTCTCGGTTCATTTCCGCCCCACATTGGGTGAACCCGCCCAGCGCCGTTTGGCGCCTCCGTCACCTCCGAGATCTGGTGATATTGTGTGTAGCCCGCACGCACTCCGGACCTCAAGCCGTGCACCACATAGCATCCCCAAAGCTACGTGGTTGTTGGGTGATAAGAAACAGAATGGGGATATAGGGATATTATGATATTGGGGATAACCAGATTGGGGAGACAGTAACTAGATTGGGGATATCAGGGGAGCACATTCTCTCTACCCATTGTTATTACTACAAGTACGTGCTAATTATCCGGTCGCTTGGAACCATGGCTACTCCTCCAGTGGGTTGACGGCATTCAGGCATTGTAATTTGTGGACTTGCAGCTATTGATCGTAACCGACATAAGAAAGTTCGATGAGTATGGACAAGTATGGAAGTACAAGGAGAGCTTGCCAACCAGCTTCCCCAAAAACCGACAATAATTGTAGTAACAAGTAACAACTGGGATCATCTTCCCACCTAAGCCACCCAGATTCCAGCGCTGCTTCACTGGCCCAACAACGTAAGTTTGATAGCCCTCCTTAGCATCATTCATGATGGTGGTGAGGTCGTTACAACTTTTCCAAATGAAGCATTGAAAATAGTACTCCTGTCCCTTCTCATGAAATACTACTTGGTTTTCACCGCTGTCCCTACTATAGGTAAGTTTATAATCCTCAATAAGCTAGGTAGTAGAATTCCCTATTTCATAGCCAATCAACCTGAAGGCAAATCCTGACGCTCTCCCGGGGGGAGAGAGGAACCATTAAAAAGGCTAGGCTACAAATGTGCTGCATCTTCCAACCATACTGTTACTAATAATCTATAATATATATATATAGTTAAATGAGATTCAATATAGGTTTCAAATTATCATTATTAATTATTAGGACTATTGTTATTATATACATTCAAATGTTTATTTATAGTTATTAATATTATATTATCATTGTATATTATTGTATATTATTGTATATTATTGTCTATTATTGTCTATTATTGCTATTTGTCGCAACCCCAACACCTGAAAGGTACCATGATGTGACACACCCAGCTCGGATTTCTTCTCCGCCGCGCAGCCAATCTGCAACTCATTGCATTGCACAACTGCTGCGCAGCTTCAACTGGCGCTTTCGAGCGTCAGAAACGGGACCGGTTTCCCTTGAACAGGGCTCCAAGTCAGAACAAAAACGAACTCCGGGCAAATGGTCCGTCCCTTCCAAGGAAAGAGGTAGGACTACGTGGGATTCCAAAAATTCCGTGCGATGTTGAAATCAAATCAAACAGCTATTTCATCCAGAAATTTCACTTGATGCCAAACTTCGGAATAATATCTGGTCCATCATGGTCCATGCCCCCAGCAATGAGAAATTGTCCTTTTCTTGGCTCCTCTTCGGACAATCAAGGTATGTTGCATGCAAATTTTGGCGGTTTCAAACCTGGAAGGTATACATAGAACAACCCATGGAAACGCCCAAGGAAGTCCTGCTCTGTCCGGCTATGAATTTGCTTTTCATCCGTCTTTTCCCTGGAAGGCATCCTATGTGCGTCGGAGACTGCACTGAGACTTTGGGTGCCGAACTTCTGGAGGTTTCAGTGGCAAGAAGTGTTCTATTTTTAAATGCTTACATAATCTTAGATGCCTTGCAAAACTAGTCAAATCAATTTGTATGCCATAAAGCTTACATTGGGCCACCAACACACCAAACACACACTTCTAACTTCTTGAAAATTGGCATACCTTCAAACTTCAAACATTCCCGGAAAAACATATGTTTTCCCTTCCTGCACTGGAGAAAATTTTAAAACCCGGCAATTTGTATGTTGGACAACTGGGAGGACCATCCCATTTAGTCATTTAGTATGGGTCAATAGGTGGTTGATTGATGATGACAATGCTGGTTGGTAAGTTCCCTAAGCAGAGTTCTCCGATTTGCAACTGGTCATTAAATCGTATTTGAACTTACGAAGTGAACTATCCCCACAGGACGGTCAGATCTGTGTATAGCAGAGGTATTTGGAGCCGGCAAGACACGCCTTGGAGACATGAAAAGACACAGTTTTGAAGTCACGTGCCACAAACACAAATTCATTATAAAGTCGCTTGTATAATCTTACATAGCGAAGCAAATCATTATCAACATGTCGTTCTTATTCATGGTGTTATGTAAGATGCAAACCTGCAAGGTCTCAGGGACTTCTCGCGGGGTGTCCCACAAAAAGGGGAGGTCAACACGGTGTCAATGAAGGTCACTCCTTTGGGGTCCACTGTGTCGCCATGATGGGCGTCTGGGCCTTTCACAGCACCATCCAATCGACGCTTTAAGCATAGAGAAGCACAGCATGGCAATCCAGGATTCAGAACATCCAAATTATCAAATTCAATGGGGGAGTTACCACTGTGCGTGGAAGAGATCCTGCACCACTTTGGATGGTAGAAAACCGGCAAATAATGGTGCTAATCATTTATCAACCGGTGCAGGATTTCTTCCATCCACAGTATTACTAACAATAGTTTATCACTATTTTTGGTGGTAACCAAGAGTCAGGGTATCATAGTCCGGGGGCACCCAAGCACCAGCTTGGTACCAACAGCTGCAACCGTCTGCAACCCAAAACATAACATGGCACCCTGTAAACCACAAATCAAACAAGCAAAGGATATAGGATATTATAGGATGATATAGGTATAAATAGGGAAATAAATATGGGGAATTAAGAAGGTAGTCAGTTTGGAGAACAAAACGCCAATCCATGCATTAGTTTAATTCCCGAATGCGTAGCAAGGGTTCCCGTTTCACTCTGAGAGTGAAACGGGAACCCTTGCTAGGGGTCTGGGGGTTGAGGGTGTCTTCGCCCGACGTTGCGTTTATGTTCGCAACCGTCCGCAACCGTCCCCGCGAGCCCCGTATGGCCGTGCCTATGGTAAGTTCTGCAAAAGGGTCACTCTTGGAGGTTTCACAGGCGTTGCTCCGTTTCGCGTGGCAAGCGCGGCACTTCGTGACAGTCAGACGTGTTTTGTAACGTGTCGAAAGTCGTCTGGTGTGGCAGGCGCAATACTTTTGCGACGTTTCCGGAAGA